AAAAAAAATCATTTACACTTAAAAAATGCGATGAGGTGGGATTCCCTCCTTTTTAAAAATGTTTCTAGAGCTACTAAAAAACTTGCATTTACAAAATAGTTGATAAAAATATTCCTCTGGATTGTACAAGAAGGGAGACAGGGAACATTGATAAGACGCGGTGTGCTTAGTCAGACTTGGCTTCTTTCTCTTCCATTTCATCAGAGGCTGCGCTCTCCTCATTTTTAGTTTCCCTGTTTTCGGTAGATAGATCTTCCTTAGGTTCTTGATTAGCCACTTCAGCCTGTTTTCCTTTTGGTCCCCTTTTCTCTTTGCTTGCACTTTTTTGTCGGAAGATTTATCCTTTCCCGCTGTCTTTTTTTGGCTTCGTTTCCTCTTTCGCCGGAGCAGGTTTAGCTGACAGCCTCTCCGATCTCCTCTTGGGCTCCACCTTCGCCACCCCTTCAGTGGAGCTGACCTTCCTCTTGGGCATCTTGGCGTCGCCAGGTGTTCGTGGGATGTGCGTGCGGAAGCTGTGGGCCGCGGTGCATGGGAGCCTTGCAGACCTACGCTGCTCGGCTGCTGCCACTCCTCCCGCCACCAGAGCTCTTTTAGGTTTCTTTTGTTGTTCTTTTTTTTTTTTTGGTACCGGGGATTGAACTCAGGACTTTGTGCTTACAAGGCAGGCTGCTAAACCACCGAGCTAAATCCCCGGCCCTCCAGCCCTGCTGTTTGAGGTGAGCCTGGGCTCCTGCTCTGGACTCTCCACAGGGTGATCAGGTGGCAGGGAAGGAGGGAGGGCCAGGGCATCAGGGCAGGGTCAGGGAGAGCAGAGACTCACGAGCCAGAGCCGTGGCCATGGCATTGAAGTCTGCTGCTGGGCAGCTGTGGGCACCGCCTCCGCCACTCTGACCCTGTTTTCCCATCTCAAAGTTGCCTGGCGCTTAGTAACTGCCCAGTGAATGTTAACCACTAACAACAATAGCATTATTACTATCATCAAGGGTCCTGTGCCTTTGGGACCAGCTGCCTGGGAAATGCATTCCCAGGGACCAATTCACAGGTTTTGTGTCATCCAGTGGTGTTTTTATTTCATTTTATTTTAAATGTTTAGATTTATAATTAAAAGGAAAATGTGGATTTGGTACATTCAAAGAGGAATAAATATAAAGCCACCCTTGACCACATAAGATGTTTTTCTTCCTGGGTAAATGGCTGCAGTTCAGCGCTTTGCTGTTTGCTGCTACTGGATTATCGCAGACAGCCCCCTGGTCCACACACAAACGGCGGCTGGGTTCCTCCTGACTGCACAGATGCTGTGAACTGAGTTACTTTGGCCAAGCCCCAGGTGATAAGCACTTGGATTAGTCCCACAGTTTCGGCATCTCACACAAACTACAGTGAGTGAATCAGCTTGACAGGCGTGTTAAAAACACATGGCTAGCCGGGGATTTAACTCATGCTGCTGCTGCCTGCCTCCAAAGTGCAAGCTCCAGAGTTCAATCCCCAATACCAAAAAAAAAAATCCATGGCTGTCAGGCTTGGTAGTACACACCTGTCATCCCAGCACTCTGGGAGGCTGAGGCAGGAGGATCACCAAGTTTGAGCCCAGCCTGGGCAACTTAGCAAGACCCTGTCTCAAAATTGTAGAAAAATTGAAAAGGGCTTCAGGCTAGAGAGTAGCTCAGTGCAAAGGCGTAGATTCAGGCACACACAAAACAGCACCATTGAAGAGATTTTCCACCTAAGCCCAGAGCCCTGACTTCTCTTGAGAACCCACAGCTCTGCCTCCCACCCCACCCTGACTGGCCGTGCCAGGTAGTGGCCCAGCCTAGAAGCCCCCGTGCCCCCAGGCCCTGTTTCTCCTGCTCCGTGGAGGCTTGGGCAGATTTGGAGCCTCTGAGTCCGCTCGTTCAAGGGGACAGGTGGGGCCTGGAAGCTCTTTGCGCTCCCCAGATTCTCCAGAGGGGGGGGGGGGGGGGGTTTCAGGCTCTGTCGGTCAGAGCCCGGTGCGCGGGGCCAGCTCCTCCGTGTGGCCCACGGCGGGGTCGGCACTGTGAGCTCCGCCCCTCTCCCCACAGGCAAGCGCCTCCAGGAGTGGTGTTCCGTGGTGCTGTGCTTCAGCCTCATCGCCCACAACCTGGTCCACCTCCTGCTGCTGGCCCGCTGGGAGCACACGCCGCTCGTGGTCCTGGGCGTAGGTGAGTGCCCACGGCCCGGCCTGTGCGTGTGCGCATGCGCACAGGCCTTCTGTCGCACTGTGACATCCACCCCACCCCATTCCTCATTCAAACCATCGGCCCACACTGCTGGCTCCGAGTGCAGCCCTGACCCCGCCTGCCTCCCGCCCTCCCAGCCCCAGCCGCGCCCGGCATCCAGACCCCACATGTGGCCCAAGGAAGAGGTTGTGCAGACTCTGCTCCTCCTCAGCTGCCCCCCTCGAGACCCCACTGAACCTCAGGCAGGACCACATTGCTTCCTCACCCAGCCTCCACTGTTCTGTCAGACACATTCCTACCTCGGGGCCTTTGCATATGCCTGAACTCTTTCCAGGACACCTCCAGCCTTCTCTCCCCTGAGGTCACCTCAGGAGGCCCTCCCTGGTTGTCTCTCAAAAGTGGCATCCCCATCTTAGGCTGTGTCGCCGTCCTGCCCCGTGTCTCCCTCGAACTCAGATGTCAGCTCACTGAGGGCAGAGATCTGTGTTTGTTTCGTTCACTGTTCTGTCCCTAGACCCGAGCACAAGGCCTGGCACACAGCAGGTGCCCAGAGCTTACTGATCAGTGAATGAGTGAACAAGTGTGCTTCCATTCATGAGTGCCCCTAATGCCTCTGGTTCCCACTGTTCCGTCCTGCCCGGTCCCCACCTGCAGGAGGATGCTAAAGTTGTCCCCCTTCTCCAGGTGAGGAAACTGAGGCTCAGAGAAGGCACCAGCCAGAAGCACAACATCAGTCTTAGTGTGCCAGCTCCGTCCCAGACCCCAGGGTGACTCAGTTTCCTTCCTGCCCACACAGCTTCCCTCCCGTCTCACTCGGGCACTCACTCCCTCCCTGTCCTGGCTCCCAAGCTGAGGGGCAGCTGTACACTTGTCCTGCCTGTCCTCCCTAAGAGTCCAGCTCCCACATTCTGGCCACCTAAGCCGAGAGAGCCCGGGCCGACTAATGGAGGCATCTGGGTCCGGGTGGGACAGGGCGCATACGGGGGCACTGGGCAGCTGAGGGAGGGTAAGCCGGCCAATGCAACCGGACCGGGCTGCTGCCTGCCTCTGGGATGGGGCACCACACTCAGAGCTGAACAGACACTGCGCCTCGGGGCCTCAGCTGGGGCGATGGGTTCTCCCCGGCCTCCCCACCGCCTGGCAGGTGTCACTGCCTCTGAGCCTCATTTTCCATCCATACAAAGTTAGTGCTGCCAAAATGCAGGTGCGCATCAGTGCTGAGACAGTTTGTGCCTGACGCGAGGGGAGGGGACGCCCCCCCGCCAGGCCACTGCCCAGGGCAGCACCGACAGTGGGTATTTTTCGAGCTTCTGCTGGATGAGAGCACCGGTCTGGGCACTTCCTATTCTTTGTGGCAGCCTGCAGAGGCAGGTTCCAAGTCACCATCCTCTGTGAGGGCACGTGACACCTCCTCCCGTCGCCCCTCAACGCGGGCAGCGGCAGAGTCTGGGATCACAAATCCAGACCTTCAGCTCATACCACAGACTTCCTGCTTGGGGCAGAGGCTGGTCTGGGCCGTGGGCCAGCTGGGGTAGAGCTACGGGATCAGAGGCGTGGAGGGGGGTGTCCTGGGCAGGTCCCCACCTCCCTCCCTGGTTGGGACCTGAATGTCCAGCTGCCCCACGTGGCACCGGCTCCCCGCTCTGAACCTCTGCCTAGCGGCTGATAAAGGGCCGATGATCCCCTGATAGCACTGTTTGCACAGGTCCCAATCCATTTCAATAGCCGGCCTGATTTGAGTGTTAACATGCAGGTGGTTAGGGCACCATGCCAGCCGCCAGCCTGCCCCTCCCTGTCACCTGTCTCCAGAGGTTCCTGTGCCCAAGTGGCCCTGGAAGCCAGGGAAAACAGAAGCATGAAAGGTGTCAATCGATAAAGCCAGGCAGAATAGGTGGCAAAACTGGCAAGCAGAGTCAAGATAAGGGAGTAGTCAGGGAAGCCCTCTGGAAAGGTGGAATTTGTATGGAGTCCTGAGAAGGGGAGAGAGGAGCCCATGCAGATATCTTGGGGAGGGGCTTTCCAGGCAGCGGAAACAGCAAGTGCAAAGGCCCTGAGGCTGGCAGGTGAATACAGAAGAGGCCTGTGTGGCTAGAAAGAATTGATCAGAGGTAAGGAGGTTGGTGACAGCTCAGAGGTAGTGGGGACAGAAGATGTAGGACTGTAAGGGCCATGATCAGAGCTGCAGGTTTTATTCTAGGGACCATGAGAAGCTATAAGTGCCAGGAGGTGACATTGGAGGATGGAAGGGATAGCCAGGGTGGGAGGAGACAGCGGGCTGTCCGCCGAGGCAGGTAGGGCATCCGAGGTGGAGACGGGTTGCAGGTGCTGGATGTGCTGTGTAGGAGAGGGGAGGCACCCGTGGGGAGCGGGACTGGGAAGCCTGGAGAAGAAATGGGGCTGAAGCCCAGAGACTGCGGGGTGCCCGGGCTGAGTGCGAGATGCCTGAGGCTGGGGAAGAAAGGCCGAGGCAGGCTGCTGGGGAGGCGCCAGGGCCAGAGTCCTTGCAGTCTCCAGGATCAGCTAGAAGCACCCGCAAGGGGGGCAGCGAAGGGACTGCCAGACTTAGCCACGTGAAGGTCGCCAGTGACCTTGCCGAGGACAGTGTCACAGGATGGAGTGGGCCCATGCTCCCCTGAGGAAGGCAGAAAGACTGGGGGGCTGAGGGCAACCCCTGAAGGGGTCGGTGTCCCCTGGGGTTGCCCCAGGGCCGGGTGTGACTTCCGGGCACAGGACCCAGTGAGCTCAAAGGTCGGAAGGGAGGTCACACGGCTCAGGGCTGGGTTTGATTCTGAGTTGAAAGCCGTGAAGAAGGCTTTGGGCCTGGCCCACCCTCAGCGGTGTCCATTGGGTCCCTAGCCACACACTCCGGCTCCACACCAGGCCTGCGGGTCCTGAGCAGGCCCAGAGAAGGTCTGGGGGCAGCGTGTGGGGCTCAGGAGGCCCAGGTGCTGTCCCAAGTCACTGTCCCCTTTCCTATCTCTGTTTCTGCAGGGAAGGGTGCTGAGCAGGCTGAAGCCACCCTGGGGTGAGCCAGCCTTCAGGGAGAGCCGGGACAAAGAGGCTCTGTGTGCTTGCTGCCCGCCCCTCCTGCCCGGCCAACCCTGACGGCCGGCCACTCCACAGATGACGAGGCTGGGGATCTGCGAGGGGAGTGACGGGCAGAGCGCAACCCCTGCATCCACTGTGTAGCTTCTGCTGCTGGGGGAGGTGGCCCCATTTCCCAGACCTGGACAGGAAGGCCCGGCACCTCAGCTGTGTGGCAGTGAGTGGGCCTGGCCGCCCCTGCCGCTGAGTCTCCGGGGGGCCTCTGACTGAGGACGTGGGGAGAGAGGTTGTGCTTTCTTAATAGATTTTGCTTTTGAACGGTTTTAGGTTTACAGAAAAGTTGAGCAGGAGGTACACAGTCCCCATAAACCCCATGCTCCCACTGTCCCATTTTTACCCTTTTTGTGCGCACACATGCTTTCTGCAGTGCTGAGGATTGAACCCAAGGCCTGGAGCATGCTAGCCCAGCAAAGCTACACCCTGGGCTCCTGGCCTCTGTTTTAACATCTTACAACATATCCCTCGTTGTCACAGTGAGTCCGCCTGGTGGGATACACTGTGAACTGGGTCATCTTAGCTGACCCCAGTGTCCTTTTCCTGATCCAGGATCCCAGCTAGAATTCCACCAACTCAGGCTCTTCGGACTGTGACAGTCTCGGGCCCTTCTTGCTGTATTGGGACCTTGACGCTCTTGAGAAGTGGTTGGTCAGGTGTCTTGCAGGACGGCCTGCATTGGATGGCACTTGTCATGAGTAGCTAGGCCCCAGAGCGATCAGTTCAGGTGGCAGGCACTGGGTGTCATCGTGCATGGGGCTGTGGTCCGCAGGGCTCGCTGCTGTGATGTGACCATGATCACTGGCCCGGGCAGCCCTGGCAGGTGTCTCCACCATAAAGTCACTCTGTCCCCTCCCTGTGTCCTCAGAAGGAGGTCTCTGCCCAGCTGCACTTAAGGAGTGGGAGCTAAGCCCCAGCCTAGCTGTCTCACATGCTCAGCCAGCACCATGCACAAGAAGCGCCCGACATGTGTGGGCCATTGTCACACAAATTGTTCTTCTTATCATCGTCCTTATTATTTGTGAGGATTAAATGCTTAGGCTGATGAAGGAGATGAGACATGTGTTACCTCCTGGCCTGCACAGTTTAGAGATTAAAGGAGATGAAACATCTGAGGGGCTGGCACGGGGCCTGGGAGCCTTAAGTGATCAATACCATCAGGTTAAACACAAAGCATCTGACTCCTTCACCCAAAGGAACGAGAGTGTCTGTTCATACTTAGTGATGGACCCAAATGTTCAAAGCAGGACAACCCAAATGTCTAATGAGAACCAGAGGGGTAGTCTGTTACATTCTACCAAACAATGGGTGGAGTACTACTCAGCCCTGAAAAGGGTGAGCATATGAAGGACCCCCAGTGAATCATAGTAGTAAAGGATGCTGGACCCATGGAGCATGCACCACATAGTCCATGTTCATGGGAAGCAGGCTCCTCAAGATACCTCTGCTACCCTCCATATCCAGGTGAAGGTGCCAAGGCCCAGGGCCAGGTGTGGACATATGTGGCCCACAGCTGTTGTCTGGTCTAAGTGTGGCTTTTGCCACATGGCATCTTGTCCTTCCTGGCAGGCAGAAGCCGTGTGTCCGCAGCAGGCCGTGTGCAGTGGGAGCTCCCAAGGTGCCCCAGCCTGCTCTGGCTCGGTTCTCAGGCTGTCAGGGGCTGTGCACCTGCTTCACGCAGCCCCCGAAGTGCCCCGAGGCCCCTGTCCTGTGTCTCCAAGCAGCCAAGGGCCCCAGCAGCACAGGGAGCCTGAGCCTCAGGCAGCCAGTCCACGGGCAGCTGAGCCCAGGGAAGAGCTGGCCTGGCCACCAGACTGCCGGTGTCTTCTGCCTCCGCCCGCCCTAGGTGGTGAGTGTGGTGTTGGTGCGTCTTTGGGCTTGAGTGCAGCGCACATTAGGTCCTGGTCTGGAACTACAGTGATCCTCCTGCCTCAGCCTCCCAAGTGCTAAGATTACAGGTGTCACCACCAGACCCAGCTCAGCCAAGTGTTTTGTGTTTTTTGCTGCATTTAAAAAGATGTATTGATTTGAATTGAAACCGGGGTCTTTGTAGCAAACTACATTCCCTAGCCCTTCTTTTATGTTTTGTTTTGACACAGTATCTAAGTTGCCCAGGCTGGGCTCAATCTTGTGATCCTCCTGCCTCATCCTCCTAGAGTGCTGGGATCATAGGCGTGAGCCACCACACCCAACTGTTCTTAGTACTTTATTGAACTCAGATATATGCTGGCAACCAGGGGACAGCCATAAACAAATCCTGGCCCCCGAGGAACTGAACTGACATTCTTGTGGTGTGGGAGATAATAAACAAGCAAAACAAACAAAAAAGCCATGGTTCTGTTTGACAAGATGCTGGGGGGAAGTGTGAAGTCCTGGAGGCTGTGGGCTGGGCAGCCTCTTGGAACAGCATTGCGGGCAGAGGGAACAGCAAATGCAACCAAGAGCGGACCAAGCAACATGGGAGGGGGAGTGGGCAGGGGATGGGGGAGGAAGGACAGAGTGAGCGGCGGCTCTGGGGTTGTCAGCCACCCAGCCTCAGCTTCCCCGTGTGTGGTGCTGGGACATCCTGCTGAGTTAGATTCGGGTCTCCAGGCAGATTGGGAGCCCAGTTATGCCACATGCCAGGTGTGTGACAAAGTGGGACTAAGAGCCACTCGGCTTCTCTCATGGGTGAAGAGGGGTCGCTGAGGTTCCCGGCACTGAGAAAGTGCTCTACAGCTGGTAGCCCCAAAGCTCCTTTTATAAAAATGTATTTTCATTAGTATTTACTAATTTTGCTAAATATTGGGTTTTGGCATGTATGATAGATTGGATCATATCCATTCCCCGTTATCCCCTCCTTCCCTTAGTCCTCTCCTCCTGTCTAATCATAGTCTCCCTTCTACTTTCATGTCATCTTTTTTCAATTCCACGTATGAGGAAGAATGAGCAGTATTTATCTTCCTGAGTCTGGCTTATTTCACTTAACTTGACGACCTCCTGTTTCATCCATTTCCCTGCAGATGACATAATTTCCTCCTCCTTTATGGCTAAGTGATGGTCCATACTGCATGATACCACGTTTGCTTTATCTGTTCACCCAGATGAGCACCTAAGCTGGCTTTATAGCTTGACTAGTAGTGAGAATTGGGCTGAAATAAACATGGTATAAAGGCACCCTCCCATGTGCCGACTCTTAACTCCTTTGCATGTGTATCATGGAGGGCTCTAGCTGGCTCACATGGTAGTCCTAGTTTTAGCCTTTTGAGGAGTCTCCATACTAACTTCCATAGGACGTGTACTAATTTACATTCCCGCTAGCAGTGTAAAAGATTCCTTTTCCCTCTGCATCCTCACCAGCATTTATTGTTTTCGTATTCCTGATGACAGCCATTCTGACTGGGGTGAGGTGGAATCTCAGTAGTTCAGGCTGGCCTTGAACTCACGGTGTAGCCTAGGCTGTCCTCAAACTTGTGGTGATCCTCCTGCCTCAGCCTCCCAAGTTCTAGGATTACAGATGTGTGCCACCACCCCCAGCTCAGTGTAGTTTTTTGTTTGTTTGTTTTTGGTACCCAGATCGAACTTGGGTCCTTGCGCTTTCGAGGCAGGTGGCGGAACCACTGAGCTAAATCCCTGGCCCTCGGTGTAGTTTTTGATTTGCATTTCACTAATGGTTAGAGATATTGAACATTTTTTCAAATACTTACTGGCTATTTTTGCTTCTTTCAAGAAGCATTCATTCAATTCATTTGCTCATTTATTGATTGGCCTGTTTGATTTTTGGTGTTAAAGGTATTTGTTGATTTTTTTTTTTTTTTTTTTTTTAGAAGACGGCATACGAGATCCTGGTAGGTGACTGGAGTTCAGACGTGTGCTCTTCCGATCATTGTAACTTTTCAATAACTTTCTTTTCTGT